CAACATGGCTAAGGCCCAGCCATTTATTTTTGCATGCCACTGAGACTTGGGTGGTTTGTTACATGTTGTCAGCAGCTGACTAGCACACTCACATACTCACTTTCCTGGGGATCCAGGCAGCTAGGTTGGCACAGGACACGGACTAGGCCAGTGGTCGGCAAACTGCGGCTCACGAGCCACATGCGGCTCTTTGGCCCCTTGCGTGTGGCTCTTCCACATACGTGCGTGCCCGCATGGGGTATTTTGTGGAAGAGCCACACTCAAGGGACCAAAGAGCCGCATGTGGCTCGCGAGCCGCAGTTTGCCGACCACAGGACTAGGCCAATAGGATGTTTCCACTCAGGAAAAAGTGATGCAAAGAAACAGCATCAAGGCAGGAGTATCCAGTTTCCAGGGACAGCTATGGCCGAGGCCCGAGGGCAGATGACTGCCAGTTGAGACATCTGGATTCTGTGGTGGTGGCAGAAGTGTCCTCACCAGTCAGTGCCCTGACCTGATTTCAGCTGATCACCCCAGCTGCCTTGCCACCTTGATTCTTCCTGTTTTCTGAGCCTGATTTTCCAGTCTTCCTGCCACTTCTGTGAGCAACCCAACAGCCCTCCAAAGCACATCTTTGCCATTGAAATCGGCCAGTTTCTGTTGTTTGCAAATAAAATCCCTGACTTACATAAGACTGGGAAATCCCAGCATCTGTTACCTTTACATTATAATTTTGTTAAGTGTTTGGGTTGCAAATAACAGAATAGCTGGCCACTAGTATCTTACGACACGAAGACTCTTAGGCAGTACAGACATTGTGATTCTCAGAAAAAGCAGTCTGGAGATCAGAGGTTCCGGGGTAGAACTGGTGGCCTCAAGATTTCAGGGCTCTGGGAGGCAGCCTCTCTGTGCTTCTCTTAACTTGCTCCTCGTGGCCACAAGAGGGCTGCAGAAACTCCTGCATACGGTCCTCATAGGAAGCATGAAGGGATTGAAGGGGGCAATAGGGCCTTTTCCATGACCAGAAACCCCCACCTCAGACCTTCCCTTAAAGCTTGGCCAGAGCTGGGAAATTTGAAAACAACCCCTGCAAAAGGCATTACCAAAAAAAAAAAAAAAAAAAAAAAAAAAAAAAAAAAAAAAAAGCTGAGCCAAATCCTAAATTAACCCCCACCCAAGGCTGGGCACACTGCAGCTGGCGCCAAATCAAGGCTCTATGGGTGAGGAGGGAGAAATGGTTGCCAGAATAGCAACAGTAGGGTCAGCCACAAGAATTAAGCTGGGGTCTTTTCTTAAAAAAATTTTTTTTAATTGATTTTAGAGAAAAACGTCAATGTGAGAAACATTAATAAGTTGCCTCCCGCCCGCACTCTGACCAGGGGTAGAACCCGCAATCTGGGCATGTGCCCAGTTAAGCTGAGGTCTTCTTGTGTGGGGAGCAATGGTCTCGTGGACCATCTGCCCTTGGGGTCCACGGATAGCGCCCACAGGCACTAAAGTGCATGAGGCTCTGCTCCCACCTCCCCACCCAGAACTTCTCATGTGTGTAACAAGCATTCCTGGCTGTGCCTCCCGGGACACACGGCCAGGTGCCCCTAATAAAACCCGTGAGCGGAGACTCCACCATGAGGAGGGAAATCTCTGGGGCCGTGAGAACAGAGGAGCTGTAGCTACATTCCAGGACACAAAGCCAGGGGCAGATTTCCAAACTGGCCAGGTCTGGGGCAGATTCCCACCTCACACGACTCCCCGGAGGCCCCTTTGGCCCTTGCTGGCTGAAAGGCCCCAGAAGTCACACTTGGCCTCCCTCTCACGGGCCTGCATCCCGCTGTCCCTGGAGACAGCGTTTTCCCACAACCCCAGCCCAGGTGCAGAGGGAGGCTCCAGGAGCCCGAGGTGGGGAAGCAGGCCATCTGGAAGGAGACGGGCTTTCCCCAAGCTCGGTCCTCATGCACAGTGGATGCTGCCCTGGGTGAAAGGTGAAGAGAAGTGATAAGGTGATAGGCTGCAGACTCCTTCAGGGAGCCACACAGAAAGGGCCAGGCTGGCCCAGGGGCATGTGCACACGCTATTTGTTCAACTGTGTATGAGCAAGCACATGTGTGCAGGTATGCCTGAGTAAGCATGTGTGCGTGTGTGTGTGTGTGTGCAAGCCTCTGTATATGGGTACACATGTTCTGCCTTTCTCCAAAGGACACAAACATTCACAAAGTTTCAAGCCAGTTTCTGCTAAATTAAAAACAGCTTTTTCGTGTTTAAAGTTTACAATACGAAAAATAATTTTCCTTTCTTCCGGGGGGGGGGGGGGGGAGAAGGAGGGGTAGAGGGCCCCCGAGAACACTCCACGAACCAGCCCAGACGGTTACGCACAATCGACTGGTTAGATACGGCAGCACCCCCTCCACCCTGCACCGGCACCCCTGCCAGCTCATTGGGGACAAGATGTTCTGAGGTGTGAGCTGATCTGGGGAACTTGTAGCTGGCAAAGGCTTCTCACTGCCCCCTGAAGGGGCCGTGCCTCTAGCAGAAAAGTGTTCTTTTGGGGGAGCTCAGGTTAGGGAGGTGAGAAGAGGCCAAAATGTTCTGGTAAGTCCCCAAGGACCCTGCTTTCCTTTCAATGCCCCTGAAAGCATGGGATCCTTCCTGGTTCCCAACCAAGTTCCTATTTCAGCACTGCCTCCCAACTCAGCCTCACCCTGGGGGCCCTGTGGCTGCTGGACGGGAGCACCAGGCCTGTGGTGTGTTTTGAGGGTGACCTGGAAGCCTCCCCTCTCAGAAGGCTGGATGCGAACAAGCAGGCAGTCTCTACCAAAGTACAGCCCCGTTCACAGTGAGGCTGCCACAAAACCAAGGGCTGGGGCAGCTTGTGGAGCTCTTGGCCCCTATGGGAGCATAATGACTTCATGCTTCCTTTAGGCCTGCCCTTTCTCCTCTGCACTGCAGCCTCTGGGAGAGGGGCTCCACCGCCGCCCGATCTTGCACCCCAGAACCGAGCAGATGGAGACAGAACCTGTTAGGGCTGAATGCTGGTTGGTGGCAGGGGGCCAGACCACCAGGCACATAGAACAGCCTGGAGAGTTGCCAGAGGCCACGAAGTTTGCCCTCTGTCTTCCCAGCATCCAGTAGAAGAACCGGCCCCACTTCCTGCTGCCCTCACTCACATCCCTGAGCTAAAGACTGGACCTTTTCCAGCTCTTCTGCAAGGATGGGGAAGGGTGAGGTGGGAGAGGGGGCCTCAAATGCACAGAGGACAGGAGGAATCTGTGACCTATCAGGCTCCACAAACTCAGCACGGGGCCTGCTCCATCTTTTCACCATAACATTTTTATTAAATACAAGGAAAATATTAGGAGACGACGTCTGCTAAGGTATGAGGTTAATTCTTTACACAGCGAGTGGGTCACAGAAACATGACATCAATCGTCTGTTAGCAGCAGAAGAGACACTTTAAGTTGCCCCAAGGGTATAAATCCCATTTATAAGGCAGCGGTGCTGGCCTCTTAAAAAAAAAGCAAAATGGAACAACAATAAAAAGATTTAGAGACCAAAACAAATGTGGCTGGAGATGCCAATGAAGCCCTTGAAGAGAGAGGCTCCTGCCTACTGACTCCCCAGCTGGCAGCCTTGGGCCAGGTGGCACTTCACCCTGAGCACAGGACAAAGAGGGAGTGCAGGGCTGGAGAGCAGATGAAATGAAAGTCCCGAACAGACCGGGGAGTGCAGAGGCACTGGATCCTAAAGCAGCATCCTCCTTCATCCGGGGGACAGGGACATATCAGCCCAGTTCCCCTCAGGGCCCCCAGGTGGCCCAGTGCCCAGTGGAGGCCCGACATCCACAAGGACCATCTCTGGAAGCGGCTGTGGTCTCTCCCGAAATCGAACGAGCAAACATCCTGAGGTGCTCAGACCAAGGACGGAATAGGAACAAACGCTGAACCTCCTGTGCGGCCCTCTCCCATTCAGCAGCTTGGGCTTATTGGGGAGACAGAACTGTCCTCTGGTCATCAATCCAAGTTGGGTGTTTCTGAGCCCCTCCAGCTCCAGAGAAGTGGGGTTATCTATAATAATTAACACGTAATGTGCAAATCGACCAAACAACCAACAGCAGGACAGTCTGGGCAACCTTCTGGACGACCACGCTATGACATGCACTGGCGCCAGGCCAGCCAAGGGGGGTGCAATGCGATTGGTGGGTGGGGGCCCCCCACCATCGCCCCACGATCACCCTGCAGAAGGAGGCCCAGGCCACCAGCCGGCGGGGCAATTGATGGGGGAAGAGGGGAGCCTCCACAATCGCCCCAAAGAGGGAAGCCCAGGCTACGGGGCCAGCCAGCCGGTGGCCACAGACCGAGTCCCAGGTGGGTGGGTGGGGCCTCCCTCTGCACAGCCATCAACCACAGGGCCCCATGATCAATCGCCCCGAGAAGGGAGGCCCAGGCCAGCCAAGTGATTGCACCCCACGCCTGTCACCCACAGAGGGAGGCAACTGGTGACGGGAGATGTGGGGGGGCAGTGCTACACAGATGGCAAGTAGTGGCAGCGGCGCGGGCGGGGCCAGCTGCTGGCAGCCCGGGAAGGAAAGCCCCACTAGGCCCTGATAGCCGGCCAGGCCTAGGGACTCTACCGAAGGGTCCTTGATTGCGAGAGGGCACAGGCTGGGCTGAGGGTCACCCCCCTTCATGCACTGGGCCTCTAGTTTAAAAATACATATGTGTGCGTTGGCCAGAATTTCCCAGTGGTTAGAGCATCAGCCCATGCACCAAAAGGTTGTGGGTTCAGTTCCCGGTTAAGGGCACATACCTGCATTGCAGGTTCCATCCCTAGCCCTGGTTGGGGTGCATGCAGGAGACAACCAAATGTGTATCTCTCACATTGATGTTTCTCCCTCTCTCTCTTCTCTTTTCTCTCTCTCTCTCTCTCTCTCTCTCTCTCTCTCTCTCTCTCTCTCTCTCTCTCTCTCTCTCTCTCTCTCTCTCTCTCTCTCTCTCTCTCTCTCTCTCTCTCTCTCCTCCTCCCTCCCTTCCACTCTCTCTAAAAATCAATGGAAAAAATATCCTTGGGTGAGGATTAACAAAAGCAAGCAAACAAAATACACATGCGCAAGAAACTTGGGATGGGGAGAGTGGCATACTATGAATTTGGATTGACACTAATGAGCCTGCATATGAACATCTGAGACTGCTGGACTAAGGGATGGGAGAAGTGGGGCACAATAATACCCCAAAGAGACCCCCTATTCCAACCCATGAGTGAGGACCCCGTGCAGACGAGGAAACTGCCTCAGGCTCAAGTTTTCTGCCACAACACACCGGCCTCCTCACTGGCAGGCTCCCTGGGCAGGCAGAGAGCCAAGATCTGCTTTGGGAAGGAAGGATCCTAGGAAGGAGGCTTATCAGCACAACGGGACTATACAGCCAGCCCACGGGGAGGGGGCCCAAGGTTCTCTACAGGACACGTGCTCACCAAACCCCTGGCAAGAACAGCATGCAGCCAGGTCATGGGTGTGTGGGGGGGGCGGGGGGGCATCCCAGGAGCTACCTCCTGCTTCCGGCCCGGGGCAGCAGGACTGGGGCACAGGCAATGCCTGCAAAAGACTCAGGGAAGTGCAGATCGCGTTCCCATTCATCTGTCTCGGTGTTGTATACCTGCACGATGCCTGTCACATTGTTGAGGCGCCAGTTATAGCCCCCAACAACATAAATTTTCCTGTCCAGCAGGCAGCAGCCGGCCTCTGACTGGCCAGCCCTCATGGGGCTCACGCTGGTCCACTGGTCTGTTTCTGGTACATAGTACTCTACAGCTAGCACGTCAAAGCAGCGGTCCATATGGTCCATGCGGCCACCCAGGGCATAAATGCGGCCGCCAGCACCCACCATGGCATGCAACACACGGGGTTCGCTCATGGGTGCCTTGAACTCCCACTGGTCGACTGCCGGGTCATAGCAGTGCAGCGCCTTCTTGTCCTCCACAGAGATGCCATAGCCACCTGAAATGTAAAGGCGACCGCCGGCCGAGGCACCTGCGTGGCCCCAGGTGCGGCGCTTCAACGAGCAGGCATAGCCCCACTCATTGCGCCGCGGGCAGTATCTTTCAACGGAGGCCAGACTGCCGGCCCGGTTGCGGCCGCCCGTGGCATAGACCATGCCGCACAGCACGTTCAGCTGGAACTGGATGCGGCTCTCCTGCATGGCCTGCAAGCGCAGCACAGGCATCCAGCACCCTCACCACTGCGATATTGCAGGTGCTGGCCCCCGGCCACATACACAAAGTTGTCCAGCACAGCCACGCATGTGTGGCTGCAGCCCACCTCCATCTCTGTGAGCTCGCGGAAGTGACAGGCTCCTGGCTCAGGCAGGTGGTATACTTTGCTACTGACAGCATGGTCACTGTCAGTATAGGGGGTGCCACCAAAGGCCACCAGCGAGGGCACATCGGAGCGCACAATCGTGCGCGGGGACTGCATCTCGTGCTGCCGAAAAGGCAGCACCTGGTAGTTGAAGGCCTCTAGCAGGTACTGGCGGCAGAGCACGTCCTCCACCATGAGGTCCAGCGTCTGCACGCTATCCACCAGGTCAGACGAGTGCATGAGTGGGAACCGGATATGGCAGAGCACGTGGCTGGCGCGCGGCCGCCGGGCAGGGTCATGCTGCAGCCAGCGGACAGCAGCTCGGAACAGGTCGATCTCGGCACAGCTCTGGAGGCGGTTGCTCTGCAGGAAGAAGACGAGGCGCTCCAGTGGCAGCTGCAGGAAATCATCTTCCGCAGCGATCTGCAGGAAATGCCGGAAGGTGAAGGCATCCACCGACTCCTTGAGTGAGGCCAGGCTGAAGGTGGTGGCCATGTGACCGATGTGCAGGCAGGTCTCCACGCTCATGGCAGCCTTGAGGAACTCCTCACACAGCTCCACCACTGGCAGCATCTGTAGGAACACAGCTGCGCCCAGCACATCCTGCACACAGTCCAGGTCCAGCGTCACCTCGGCACTGTAGGCAAAGTCAATGATGTGCCGCAGGCCACGCGCTGACAAGCCCTTCAGTTCAATGATGTCCTGGCTGGCCTCCCTCATGCCGCCTGTGAACATGGCCCTGAGGGTCAGAAACACAGCATGTGGGTTCAGGGCACCAATAGACATCGTGGCCACTGGGATGGCCTGGCCCTGAGACACTGCCAGCAGGGCTTTGCCTGCCAGGGTAAAGCAGGCCAGGTATGCATTAAAAACATGCAAAAAATAAAAGGTTTTTCAATCCACCCCAGCCATGCATCTTCCTCCCAACAGCACTCTCGGCCTCTCCCGTGGGGCCCCGCCCAACCTCACCCAGATGTATGCTGCAGTGGGGTAGGCTGGTTCTGAGGCCGGGGGCCAACTCCCTCCCTCTCCCCACACCCCGCTCATGGCATGGCGATGTGGCTGTGCAGGAGGAGGCCAAACCTTAGCTCTGGCTCTGGGGAAAAGTCTCCAACCCCATATCAGTGCCCAGCCATGAAGACCGGTTCCTCAGTGAGCTCAGGAAATATAGCGGGGACTCCAAGGGAATACACATCATGGTTCAGAGTCCAGTACCTCCCCAGCACACTCCCCTGAACAGGTGGCTCCACCTTCCCCTGCCTGAGTCTCAGCTGCTATCACACAGGGATGGGGAGGGAATAAGGGTCCCAGACTGGAGTGCCTATTGGGGGCCCCCACTGGGGTCACTGATATGTCCAGAGAAAGGCCCAGGTAGTTAGGAGAGCCCCTAAAAATGACCCACAGGAGTCTCATCCTGCTGTAAGACACCCCCCGCCCCTCGTGAATGGCCCCAAGTCTGTCAGCTGGGCTGTCCTGCTATGGGGCACAGGACCTGGGACACAGGACCTGGGTCTCAACACCTCCCCCACCCTGCCCCCGCCACAGCCTTTGGGAGGGGTCCCTCCAGGAAGAGGGCTAAGAATCCCAGTGCCTGCTAGAAGTTCATGGCAGGTTCTAAAAGATGATGCATAAGAGGCTCCTCTCAGAGGGTGAGCTGGCCTTTCATCATAATTGTGACTGCCATCAACATACATCGTAAACATCATAACGGGTGACTGATGGAAGGGAACTTCCGTTGGCCATTTGCCTAACAAATGCTTGTCACCCAGTCCCTACGCTAGTATGGGCCAGGCGTAGGCCCCAGAGTAGGAACAGCTGAGCTTAATGCTGCCTTGGGACCATCAACGAACGACTGCCCAGCACTTCACAAAGCAGTGCCATATCGCTTCCAGGAGCAGCGCTCTGCCAGCCCCAGGGCCCTACCCCTTCTTGTCCCCGAGAGTCCCATCGGCCTGTCGAAGGCAGAAACAGTCATTGCGACGGGAGGGAGCTTTGCCTTTTAAGGCCTTGCCGCTGCAGTGCCAGCGCAAAGGAGCCTTTAAAGGGCATTTCTGGCTGGGGCGGCCCGCCCGTCCCCAAATCCAGAATAAAAATAGAAGCGGCGCCCCAGATGGCTTGGTTTCTCCAGCTCCCCAGAAGGGCCTCATTGAGCCCGCAGGGCGGGCAGTCGGGGGCACACTGGGCTGGACACCTAGCCTCGGAGAGTGTGCAGCCTGTGGTGCACACCTGGGCTGGGACTCTGTGACACGGTCGCAGGAGCGCCTCAGCCACCACTGGCAAAGCAGAGTCAGAGACTCACCCCCAGGATGACACTCTTAGGAAAGGGTCTTCAGAGCAGACAGACCCAGACACTCAGCAAGGTCTCGCCTGTCACATGGGGATTGCAACAGAGTCTGGCAAACTCGGGGGCCACCGCCTGGGAGTCCTCCTGTCCTTCGGCCTGAGTACAGGTATCGCAAGGGCAGGGACATGTGCCAGTCCCTGCTGGATTCTGAGGCCAGCTCACACAGGTGTCAAAAAACACAGCAGAAACCTGGCCAAGCCCTGCCTCCCCTCAGGACAGAAACGGCTGATTGGGTGCCCACAGGCCACTCTGTCCCCCAGGTATGTTCTACTGGCCTGTGTAATAGCCCTAAAAAGTCTGAGTAAGTTGCAAACCTGGGAAAAGCGGTAGGTTTACTGACTGTTGGGCCAACACCAGCCACCTTCCCTCAATGCCATCCCTCCTTAGCTAGAGTTGAACTTGCCCCTCTCAGAAGAATCTGCACTCTCCAGCCCATCCCCCAGGCCTGTGCTCACCTGAAGTAGTCGCTGCAGGCAGCCAGGACCACCTTGTGTGCATGGAAAGTCTCTCTGTTGACTGTGAGCACAACGTCCAGGAGCTGGCCTTGTGAGCGAAGTGTGGCCAGGCCCTGCAGGAGGCTGGTGCTATGGCAGGGTGCAGAGAAGGTGCACTTGAGAGCTCCGTTCTTATCAGCCATGCTATGGGAGAACAGGGCGGAGTGTCAGGCTCAGAGGCTTCAGGGCCTCAGCCCGGGAATCCTGGACAGCTCACCCAGGCTCTGAAGCTGCCCCAAGCTCTGAAGCTGCCCCAGGCTCTGAAGCTGCCCCAGGCATGGGTAAAATCACCAGGATCCGCCGAGAAGTAGAAACAAGATCTGGGTCCTGACTGCCACCTGCCCACTGAGCCTTGGCAGTAGCGTAGAAACCTGGCCAAGCCCTGCCACCCCTCAGGCAGAAACTGCCATTTGCTGCCGATGATATGGGCAGGGTTTCAGACAGGACCTGAGGAAACCACATGTCCCTCTTTTAAAAATATATTATTTTTTATTGATTTCAGAGAGGAAGAGATAGAAACATCAATGATGAGAGAGAATCATTGATCAGCTGCCTCCTGCACGCCCCTACTGGGGATTGAGCCCGCAATCCAGGCATGTGCCCTGACCGGGAATAGAATCATGACCTCTTGGTTCACAGGTCGACGCTCAACCACTGAGACACACTGGCCAGGCGCATGCCCTTTTCTTTTCTTTTTTTAATTGAACTCAGATTCACATAACATACAGTTCACCATTTAACATGTACAATTCAGTGGCATTTAGTATATTCACAATACTGTGCAACTACCACCTCTATCTAGTTCCAGAACATTTCCATCTTCCCAGAAAGAAACCCCATCCCCATTAGCAGTCACTCCCTATCCCCCCCTTCACTCATCTCCCTTCCCCATCCCCTGTCAACCACTAATCCACTTTCTGGATTAGTTGCCTGTCTGGACATTTCATATAAATTGAATCAGACAACAAGTAGTCTTTTGTGGCTTTTGTGTCTGGCTTCTTCCACTCGGTATCATATTTCAAGGTTCACTACATTGTAGCGTGTATCAGTGCTTCACTCCTTTTCATGGCCAAGTACTATTCCACTGTGAGAATGTATGAATGCACAATTTCTTTATCCCATCAACTATCTATGGACATTTGGGTTACTTCCAACCTCTCCTTTTAAAAGCTCTATTCCATTATTTTTTATTCTAAACGTGTCTCCTGAATGCTACACGGAGTGACCACTGTCCCCTAAGCCCCAGCAAGCTGCCCCCATGGTACACTTATCGCTCCTCTACAGAGGGTGAGATTAAGATGCTAGGTGCTGGCACAGAGCCCATTGTGAGCAGTGATGAGGAACTTGACCTGCAACTTCTCAGGAGTGCTAGGCCCTGAGAACACGGGTGCCTCAGGCCAGCCTCTCACAGCGGGGAGGGAGGTGCCACCTCCAGAAGGGCTCGGCCTTCAAAACCCAGCCACTTTGACACCTGCCCAGCCACTTTGACACCTGCCCAGCCACTTCGACACCTGCCCAGCATACCTCGTATGCCCAGCACTATGGGGAAGGGCATCCACATGACTGCAATATCACCTTGGCCATTTTCAGAAGAGTTTGGCTGTGGGCTACACTCTTTGGCTGCCCAGTCAAGGGGAAAGGTCATCAGTCCCATCTTCTAAGGACAGAAGCAGGCGGAGCAGCTTGTCCATCGCCCAGAGCTGTGAGAGGACACAGCAGAACCTGAACCTGTTCGGGGAAGCAGCAGGCGCATGGGATCTTCCTGTCACCTCCTGGCCAATGTAGGATAAACAGAAAATTGTGGGGAATCCACAAAACCAACAATATCTGCTGTAAGAAGATGGATTTACCTATGAAGGCAGCTGCTGGGGGGATGGGGACAAGAGGTTCCTGCACCTCCAAATGAGGATTCAGAAGGCAAAGATCATTTTAGAATTTTTTTTTAAATCTTAAAAAGGAAAGTGGTGGAAATAACCCAAATGCCCATCAACGAATGAGTAGATAAATAAAATGTGGCACGTGCACACAATTGAATATTAAGGAGGAAGGAAGCTGATTCACGCTACGTTGACAAAGATGAAAAATGTGATGCTCAGTGAAAGAAGCCAGTCACAAAAGGCCACGTGTTGTATGATCACATTTATATGAAATGTCCAGAACAGGCAAATTCATAAAGACAGAAACCAGATTAGGGTTTGTCCCGGGATGGGAAGGGGAAATGGGGAATGACTGCTAATGGGGACAGAGTTTCTTCGGGGAGGTAACGTATTCTGGAACTAGATGGGGGTGATGGTTGCACAACATTGTAAATATACTAAATGCCACTGAATTGTTCACTTTAGAATGATGGTTTTTATGTTGTGTGAATCTGACCTCAAAAACAAACAACAGCCCTGACTGGTTGGCTCGGTGGATAGAGCGTCGGTCTGCGCAGCACAGTGACCTGAGAGGTCAGGACAGCTGGTGTGACCCCTTGGAGCCCGCCCCAGGAGCAGACTTGGACTCAACAGTTCCAAGTACCAGTGTGTCACATTCATCACCAGGACCCCCTAAAGCCCAAACCCAGAGCCTAGCCCTGAGTGGAGTGTCTGGGGGTCAGGCAAGGACCCAAAGGCTGGGAGATGCAGATCAGTGAGACCCACTCCTCCAGGAAACCTGCCCAGGCTGTACCGCAGACCTCACCTCACCAGGCTCTGGCATCTGATGTGAGAAGCAGAGGGAGGATTCTGATCCCTACCCTGCCATCAGCCAGCTGTGTGACTCAGACACACTCCCTGGTCTCCTGGTCTTTTTTTCTTGACTGTCAAATGGGGCAGGCAGGAGCACAGATGTCACAGGGCTGTGGTGAGGCTCCCATCACCTCCTGGGAAGTGATGGACCACAGACCACCTACTTCTCCCAGCTTCCCTTTGGGCTAGGGAGGTGGCAAGGCCCAGGGGGGACTGTATCCTGCCACCTGTGAGCCACTGAACATGGTCATGCACTTGGGAACTTAAAGCCTGGAACCACTCACAGAGCACTGGCACATGGTAGGTGCCCATTGAGCCAGGCTGGCCTCTCTGTGGACACCTGCCTCACAGATTCTGTACATTCTGCTAGTTTGGTCTCAGATGGTCTCTTTTTTTCTTAGAGACTTTGGGGGCAGGGCAGGAGAACTTCTTGTGTTTCCCCTAAGCCCAAGGACAGATATGCATGTTCACATTTTCACAAGAAGATATCACACCAAGAGCAACTTTATTGTGGAACTGCTCTGTCCCTGAACATATATGGCCCTCCATATATAAAGAGCCCCAAGAAATCAATACAAAACTGGCAACCTCACAGAAAAATGTACAAATGATGTGGGTTGATGGTTTATCAGTGGTTCTCAACCTGTGGGTCGCGACACCTTTGGCTGTCGAATGCCCCTTTCACAGGGTCGCCTAAGACCATCCTGCATATCAGATATTTACATGATGATTCATAACAGTAGCAGCATTACAGTTATGAAGTAGCAACGAAAATAATTTTATGGTTGGGTCACAACATGAGGACCCGTATTTAAAGGGCCAGAAGGCTGAGAACCACTGGTTTATAGGAAAGAAAGCACAGCTGGCTGGAAAGACCTGCGAGTCGGCCTCTTCCAAACAGGGAAAGTGCGCTCACCAAGGGACTGGCTCAGGCGGGCAGAGTCACCAGGTTCTCTCACAGCAGACACTCATGCCTGTTCCCAGGGGGAGTGTGAAGTGGGACAACCTCCAAGAAGGCAGTTCGGCAGAACCACATATCCTCATACTAGCAAGTCTACTTCTGGGATTTATCTGACGTGTGCTCACATGTGCAAGAGATGAGTGAGAATATTCCCCACATAGCATTTCTGGGGGCTGAAGATGGGAAACGAGCTAAATGTCCTTCAAGGAGGTACAAAGAATTATGGTGCCTTCTGATAGGGTCTGCCCTTCAGCTGAGCATAGAGGCAGTTAAAACATTCATATATGGGAGTTAGGATACCAGGTTGGAACTCCAACCAAGCCCACTGGGCTGCTGCCTACAGGGTGTGGGCCGAGCTACAGCCAGAGTGAGAAACAGCCACTGAGTACACATCCTCCTCGTGCTGGGCAAGGCTTCCAGCACCACACAGGCTGTTTCCTTCCTCCCATCTCAAAGATGGGACAACTGTCCCTAAAGCCCCTGTACTACCCCTCACACATCTCACAGCCTCTGGGGAGCTCAGGGAGGGAGGGAGGAAGCCAGCAGAGGCCAGAGTCCCAGACTGGACAGAGGCAGACATGGCTGGGCAGAGGTGGGCAGGAGGAGGAGGGAGTGCTGAGGCCTGGGACCAATGACTAAAGCAAGGACCCATTACTCAGGCCAGCCAGACAGGGGGCGGCCGCTGTGGCGTGACTATAGGCCTCCTCCAGGAAGGCTGCTGCCGCCTTCCTGGGCCAGTCGGAGTCTTTAGACAGCCACCCGAGCATGGTCACTAGCACTGAGTCATCGGAGCCAGTGCGTCAGCAGCTGGTCAGAGTGTCTCTGGAGGCTGCTCACTGCTGTCCTGGATGACTCTCTGCCCGGATCTGGACTCTGAGGGGCTGCACATGCCCCCACAGACTTGGCCTGGGCTTGAGATTGTCCTGACCCCCTATCCCTGTGCTGGTACCTCCCCTTCCTCCAGCACTGTCATTGGGAACCTCTGGCCGGGCCCAGGCCTATGCTAGACATGGGAACTTGGCCTCTGCTTCCCTTGGGCCTTCCCTGCACAGGGGCTGATGGCCCATGGGACTGGGTGGAGTAGATGCCCCCAGATGGACCACCACATGGCAGGATACCCATCATCCCTCAGGGAACCCCGGCCACTAAGCCTATTGCCCACATTGTCACCAGCTCCCTACTGGTGCCCCCTACATGAGCTCCTTCTCCCGTCCTTCATGGGGTCACCCCATGAATATACTACAGGCTGCCTCAGGTTCTGCTATGAGGAGACCCAGCCCAAGGCAGGACAATCTAATGGGGAGTGGCCACAGGAATTACAGAGCCACAGGGTGACAGGGCCCCATGGTGGAGGTGGAAACGCTCCTCCTCCTGTCCTTGCCCACTGCTGGCCCTGGTCTCCACGGTCAGTTTCCCAACCCTACAGGAGATCTCCAAAGCTCCGGAACAGTTCT